CTGCGATATGACTATGTGCAGGTAAGCTATAGTGTCATTGGTTCTGAATTTGGAAGTGCATACTGTAGTGCTGTGCATGGGCCTGATGTGATGCATTTGTTTTCTCTTGTTCAGAGAGTGATGGAACTAGAAGCAGATGCTATGGGACATGAGCTACTTTTTGTAGATGAAGCTGGTTTTAACCTCAGTAAAACCAGGAGACGTGGCAGGAACATTATTGGACACCGTGCCATCATCAATGTCCCAGGACAACGTGGTGGTAACATAACTATGTGTGCAGCTATAAGCCAAAATGGTGTTCTTCACCATCATGCAACCATAGGCCCATACAACACTGCACACATTATTGCATTCCTGGACACCTTACATGACATGCTCACTGTTCATAGACCAGAGCATACCCGATATTTCATCATATGGGACAATGTTAGTTTCCATAGGGCTGCCTTGGTCCGCAACTGGTTTACAGACCACCCATTCTTCATGGCACTCAACCTCCCTCCATACTCTCCATTCTTAAATCCCATCGAAGAGTTGTTCTCTGCATGGCGCTGGAAAGTGTACGACCGTCATCCTCATCAACAGGTAGCCCTTTTACCGGCAATGGAGGAGGCATCTGGAGATATTGACCAAGCATCATGTCAGGCCTGGATACGGCATTCAAGGAGATATTTTCCCCAGTGCCTTGGACTGGAGGATATCGCATGCGATGTGGACGAAATTTTGTGGCCGGACCCAGAAAGACGACATGATGAAGGCTGATTGTTTTTTTGTTTTTTGTGAATTTACTATTTTGTGTTCTGACTTTGTCTTGGTTTTGATGAGTGTGAATAAACAGCAATACTTGAAATTTGGATCCTTGTATGTTTACATGACACTATGACAAAAGTATGACCTCAAATTGACATCTGTACACAGAGAAAGAGAAAGCCATATGTGTTTTGTATTCATACCATCAGTGTGTAGTTGGCACATTGTGTGCTTAGTAGATAATGGCTTGTGTTTACTGTTTGATACGAAAACACAATTTTTACAAAGGTGTGAAGATGCTGATGAAGGTTCTCAGTCATCCAGGTCATAGTCATTCCGTAAAAATTCAAAAATATCCACTGGACTTGATTTTCAAGATTTGAAGACGTTTCGCCACCTCTCCAGGAAGCTTTCTCAATTCAAATGTCTGGATCCGCAGTGAGTTTGAGTCTTATATAGACAACGCCTTGTATCGCTTGGAAACATGCAATAGAAACCGATGAATGGGTCGTTAGTTCCATCGTTAGCCTGTAATATCTGAAACTGTCTATGATTGTTGTCAGTGTCAGATTGATGACAGTTTCAGATATTACAGGCTAACGATGGAACTAACGACCCATTCATCGGTTTCTATTGCATGTTTCCAAGCGATACAAGGCGTTGTCTATATAAGACTCAAACTCACTGCGGATCCAGACATTTGAATTGAGAAAGCTTCCTGGAGAGGTGGCGAAACGTCTTCAAATCTTGAAAACCAAGTCCAGTGGATATTTTTTGAATTTTTACGGAAAGGTGTGAAGAGTTAATCTAGTTGTGTTCGCTTTTTCAAGAAAACTGCAATGTTTTGATAATTGGGTGAAAGGTTTTCTTATTTGTGTGTAGAGTTTTGCAAAAATAGCCAAAAGTTACAAAAAATTTGCTTAAGCAATCAGAAAAACTGTAATAAACTGTTTCAGAGGAGTGATCATAGTGATCTGCATCAGCAGCAATGTATCTCTCTCTCTGCCAGCTCCCTGATCAGCTTCTCTGATTGGATGATGTGGCACATCGAGCAGCAAAAGTTAAATTTTTCCAACTCCAGCAGCAGCTGCGTTTGCAGCACGTCACACGCGTCAGATGCTCAGAAGCTCACAACGCGCTGCTTCTGGAGTTGATGCTTTGCTGCGCCTTGATGCGCGTCAACCATTGACTATTCAAACTAGCTGCTCCTGCTGCCTCTGCTGCTTTAGGTATGAAAGTAGAATAACTTTGGAGCATGAGATAAATGTATCATTAACATGAAAAAACTGATATCTGTCAGATAACTAAGATATATATATATATTTTTTTTTTCTTCCACTACAGGTTCATTTTCCAGTTTTCTCTTGCAGTTGTTGCCAAAAAGTATAAAACACATTATACTTCAATAGTAAATAAATGTTATAGTTTATTGGATTACTTTCAGTAACACTACATGATGCACACAAATAGAAGACTGTAAATTGCACTGCCAGAGCAGCCTTGTATGTCTGATTGTTGGACTGTTTATTGCAGCACTAGATAGTGACAGAAAAAGAGGGCCCCAAAATTAGATTTTGCTTAGGGCCCAGTGGAGGCTTTGGCCGGCCCTGTTCCTTTCAACAATGAAATCTGCCATGTGTTGGGGTATAAATAAGGTGCGGTCATTTGACCTAGAATCAGGTGGGTTTAGGAGGAATTTTTAACACCATTACATTTGCAAAGAGACGTCCTAGTCCACAATTGCATAAGGGGCCAACCAGGTGTCAGTGACGGGGCCCCTAAGAGGTCAGGGGCCCCAACAGCAGTTCAGCATTGGACAGAGTATGCTTATTATGTAATATGATTCAGCTACATAAAACGTGAGTTTTATTAACTGTATAATAAAACTTAATTGTGTACTTTAATTGCTCTGGGCATATCCCTCATAACAGACAGGGAAATCCAGTTCTTCCGCTTGTGGGTGTGCTGATGCGGTCATGTGTGCATGTATGTGTGTAAGCGTGTGTTGGTGGTAAAGGAGTGTGTTCACTGAAGGAAGCGGGGCCCGCAGTGCTGAGCTTGCTCTCACTGCCACACGTGGACATGGGAACATTTTGTACCGACATTCCGCACGTGTCCTCTCATTCTCTCCGTACTAAACCACGCGCGTGCGCCCCTACGCACTCCAAAAAAGAAGAAAAAAGCAACCTTATCTCTGCCACGACCGTGTCAACATGACGGTGTGACCCAGAAGTACGGCGCAATCCTGAACTCTTGCACTTTTGAAAGAGAACATAGTGGGGGAGTAAGGGAGAGAGGGAGGTGGGGGACTGCGGCAGCCGCAGAGGCACCTCCTCTTCCACTGAAATGTTTACAACCTCGCTGTAGGAGGATCAGGAGGTTCAACCGGATTTTATTTCTTGGAAATTTAGGGGTTCTGCCACTGAATCCAGAAAAAGAAGGGTGGGTGGGAGTATATGAATGATTCTGGGACAGCACAAGTTTTAGATGCACAAAAAGGGAACTTTGTGTCTCTGCAGTTCTTTTCAAATCCCTTTACTTGTACATTTTGTTCCTGCAGTACACGACTTATCCAAAAAAAAGGAAGTGGTTCTTTTGAGTAAAATAAAACTAAAATGTGAATGTTTTTATTGATTGTAAATTTTATAATCAGAAAGAAAAAAAAATAGACAAACTCTTACATGAATTGAATGTCTTCATCTCGTTTTGTAATGTTTCCAAGCATTGCTCAATCTCTGCACCCTGAAAACAAAAATATTTTCTTAGAACTTGGCTATGTGAACCACCCACTGCAATGGACACCCCTTTTTTAAAGTAAAGGATTGGGAAATAGTGGTATTATTTCACGTTGGAGATACTTGATGGGATTCTTTTTTTGTTGGGAAGATCAGAGAATTGAAAAATAAAAGGTTGCTCATTATAGTGATTTAAAAAAAAATCATATAATCCTGGTGAGAACCAACATCTCCAAAGTAGTATCATTAATCCTTTCTAAAAAATTCAAGTCATTTTACTTCTAGTCAGAAATTGATTTTTTTTCCCAGTTGTGCAGTAAGAAGACTTCTTTACAATGTTTATGTTTCTCTTTTTATACTTTGCTTAATGAGTTTGCATCTGCAGTCAAGAGTTCAAGTGTGGCTTCAGGGACAACAGGGCTCGGCTAATGGGGGTGTGTCACTGAGAGTGGAACAGCAGCTATTTTTGCCTAACACCTAACAAACATTGCACATATGTCTGCCATGATATATACTGTATGTAGTCACCCAATGAAACTTTCACACCAACTTGTAAACAAACTGCCCGTCTCACTGATAATTATAATAAGTAGTCCAATTAACTGTTTTAATAAAAACAGGAGTGGGTCTTGTGTGCTTCCTTTGAAACCCAGTTACACATAACCAATGTTCTCATTTCTACACCTAATCAATTTATACACTTCATAAAATGTGGTAACAGTGCCACTATGGTTGATTAATTGGCACTTAGAAAATGTTGATGTCACCTGCACTATTTATAGGGTAAATATTGAGTAATGCAGAGAGCAGATATAGGCACAACTAAGTAAAGACAATGACTGATCATGTAGGCTACATGAACTAAAAGTGATTAAATTGTTAGGGAGGCAACATGCAGCAGTTCTGCAAAAAAATGCTGCACTGTCCTGGTCATATTATATTTTTAGATTCATGTGCATAAAAATATTGTCATTTTCTATAGATTCACCCAATTTGTACTTTTAATAATTTTACCCTGAGTATAAAACATAAAGCTCACTCACACCACAAACCTTATTCACACATATGTTTGTATATAAAGGTATCTATTTTTTTCTTTTTATGTTGCTTTTATTACAAAAAAAACAGTAATGGTGTAAATCAACCTGGAGCTGATGAAAATGCGCATTTTTTATTATTTGTTTAAGGGAGAAATGTCAATATGTTTTAGCATATAGTATTAAATCCCTTTATTTCATTATCCCTTATTTTGTTTTATTGAAAAAACATTATTTCGGTATTATAGCAAAGTAAATACAATGTATTTACTCTAGTTTCAAGCTAAATTTAAAAGGCAAAAAAAAAAAAAAAAAAAACATATTTCCCAGCTATTTTTTAAACACAAACGCAACATTAGGTCTGCCCTTAGCTAGAAGCCCTGCCTGTGATTGGTCACTTTCTCCGTCACTCAGACCGGAAAAAGGGCATGCGAGCCATGGTCGCTATCAGCCAATCGCAGCGCAGATCTATTATGACACAGCGGTATTCCGCGAAATTGTTTCTTGGAGTTGAGAAAACTGGCTGTTGCTCGCTGTAAAATAGGACAAGTGGGCGCAGAAGTAGAGGCACACAGAACGGCAGGACAGGCGTCTGGCACATAAAGGCGAAAAGAACAAATAAGGAAAAAAAGGAGGAAAAACAGAGGAGCGCAACTGTTCTCTCTCCTGAGTCAGTGTTTATTTATCCGCCCAGCATCCCCTGGAAGAAACACTCTCTAAGGACGACACGTGTGGATCATTAGCCAAGGAGGACTGCGGTCTATATAATATTTTCTCCCCAATTTTTTTTGTCTATAGATATATATTTATATATATACTCTGCAGCAACTTTGCACAGACTCTCTTCACTCCACCCAGATCCGCTCCAGTGATGTCGGAGGTTGATGCCGTGGACTGCGTCCCTACGCGTCCTCTGGAGAGAACAGAGGACGCCTTAAAAGATAACCAGGAAAATGGCACTTTACTAATGGTCGCGATGATATTATTGGATTTAAAGAAATGTGGTCCGTCCCCTGTCTGCGGCGGAGGGAGCAGCGAGGCGGGAAGGCAGGAGAAAGAGAAGGAGGAGCGGGGGAGCAGCCGGGGGTGCCAAGCTGTCAAGGCGCCGCGGAACAAGGCGCCCGGCAGAACTGAGACCCCCGAGAAGAGGCACGGCTGCCCCTTTGCTGGCTGTGGGAAAATGTACGGAAAGTCGTCCCACCTCAAAGCCCACCTCAGGGTCCACACCGGTGAGCGACACGCCTACAAAAAAGGCTCGCTTCTGTAGACGCCCTGCGTCACTTCACTTTTACGCGCATGGGTTTCATCCACTCATTAAAAAAAGTCCCAGATTGTTATTTTCTATATCTGCCTTTGTGTGACTTGTGAACTGTAGGAGCATATGGTACCGCAGGTTATATGACAGGTGGTTCGATGGGTTCAGGGTCAGATCATGCCTGCCACTGGCTGAGCAGGCTGGAAAGAGGCGTGCGTTAGATAAAGATGTCTTAATATGTTGTTGACACGCGCCTTCCTGTGAGAACATCGCGTTCTTCTCTTCGCTCTGCGTTTTGGGGGCGCAATAAATCGCACAGAAAGCAAGTTAACTCAAATCATTCTTCATTTGGGGGGTAATAGTTAAATTCCTAACTGTTAAAGTGGTCCTTATGTTATATTAGGGCTTATATCCAACACGCTGATCAATCCGACCCAGTTGTCACTGTATGTTCTTTGCTGGAGGTAACCGCCCCCCTCCCGCCCCCTGCACCACCGCTATCTCATCCATCATCTCCGGCTCCACACCCCTCCGTCCGGTTGTAAACAAGAGCAGACATGTGGTTTGAGTCGAGCACGTGGAGGAAAAAGTGGGGTGTGGCCTTATGTGGTTTTATTGTCATCTAAATAGACAAGCTCCACATCTAGTTAAAGATGGTTACCATTCTCAAGAAAAAAAAAATACCTTTTTTAACGTAGCTGCAGTGTTTAAAGGGGTCATAGAATGATTATATAGGGCAGGGGTCTTCAATGTTTTCCAGGTTAAGGATCCCCAAACTGATGTCGAGATTGAGCGGGAACCCCCTAATTATATATATTGTATGAAATTGTGTTATATCAAACTGGTCATATAGTCACTCTTATTACAAAAGTAATTTCACCCTTGGATCATTAAAGTATTTCTGATTCAGATTCCTGGTTGATGGGTCAGGTGTTGTGAATGAAATGGTGCCCAGCTTGAAAGATCTCCTGTGTGTTGCTGAATGTGTGCATTGATGACTGAAAGACATCTTCTGCCTCCATTTATCTGTTTGCTACAGTGTGTTGAATTCATGTTAATGTGGATTTAAAGACATTTCAATTAGTGGAAAAAAATAGCAGGGAAGGGGATATAAAAAAAAGTAATCAACCAAAACTTTCGTGACCCCCATGCAGTACCTCTGTGGACCCCCAAGGGGTAGCGGACCGCTGTTGAAGATCTCCGATATAGGTTATTTGGTGCTGGTCCTTAAGGTCTCTGAATAGGGTGTGTAACATTGGTTGGGCTGAAAATGGCATATTTGCTGTTCTTTTAGCCCTAATGCAAGCCTGGTTATAAGCTTTAGAATGAAATGACAGGTTTTCTTCCTTTTATGGTATGCTCATGAATATTTAGATGAGCTGTGCGCTGATTGGTTGGTTTACAATGAGTGAAGCTGCTGAGCAAAGATGCATCATAGCAACCAGTACTCACTCACTGAAACATCAAATTGTTGATATGGTAGTGTGACCAGACGTCCTTATTTTCCCGGACATGTCCTACTTTTCATACCTAGAAAAATGTCTGGGGGGGGATTTCAAAATGGATTTTGGTAGAGTACAGTGCAACAGAACTGAGCTGTCAGCTCTGGGGGTGGTCCGGGAACCCCGGCGGACGGGGGCAGGGGCCCAGCCGGGGACAGAACGACCAAATCCGACCCGGTGAGGGTAGTCTGGACACTGGCGCCCCCACCCCCTTTCTTTTCCCCTTTCTCCATGCAGCTAGGAACACTGCATTTATGCCCATGGTTCTGGCTCATTTTCGATAGAGAAACTGCCTGCTTTGTAATTCTTGTACAAGTAAACCCAACTGTAGGCTAAACAGCTAAACTAGTGTCTTACATCTACCTCTATTCATGCTCTTGGGCCGTGAACCAGTGGGCTGGTCTGTATGTCAATTTCGGGGCGTGACAAAAGTACAGGCCAGAACCAAATAAGGCAACATCCCCAAACTTACGTCCATTCGGGGCTTTGCTTGGATTCACCCGTTTTATGGTGGAAGTTTAAAATTGTGAGATTTGCAGTGAAAGGAGGCGTTGATGGGGTTTGAACTTCTCTGTATGTCCATTTCACCCACTGAACTATCATTATTCATCTATGACAATGTAAACTCGGTTTTGCATTCTATGATTCCTTTAAGTCTTGTTTTTCAAAGTGTCCATCTATTGCCTGTATCTGCTTACCCATATGTCATAATACAATCTAAATTGATTGTTCAGCCAACCTACCCAATAGTCCTGCATGGGCAGTTCTAAATAGGGGGCCAACAGGGTCAAGGGGCTAGAGCTGGAGCAGGGGTTCTGTCAGATCAGCATATGCTGTCAAATCGGCATACGCTTAGTTTTTATCTAACCTAAATTAATTCTGAGTCACAACGTAAACCACAGCCAATGTTTTCTATGATTTTAAATATTAAAACAAAATCCAACCAAATTACAATTCTTGCACCAAGTTTTTTTACTACTAAAGTAACTTACTCAAAATTAATATAGACTAATATGGTTTTAGCTATAGAGTCTTCTTCTCTCAACATCCCGGGAACTTCAGTGATGTCTGGCCCTTTCTGCATCCAAGAAATCACAGTAAAATCAAATTTGATTTCTTTTTTAAAAGTTAAATTAAAAGAGTTTTTGTTGGTCACTACACTGCTGCTGCAATTCACTTACACTTAGACATCTTTTATTGTCATTTTGTATACATAATGTTTGCAAAACAACATTTCTTTTTGTACAGCTTTCAGAGCATTTTCATAAAGTGCAGCAGTGATCAAATTTGAATAGTGTCGGAGAAGAGACATGGTGCAAAAAACCCCACATCGAAATGGAAGTTCAGAGCATTAAATATATATATGGTGCAGATATGCAGTATTTTGGTTTGGTATTGTCAGTGTGATGCAGAGTGTGTGACATGATTTAGAGTTTTCTCAACAGTTCAGCTGTCTTATGGCGTTGGGGAAGACGATGTTTCGGAACAGCTGGACCTGCATTGAATACTGTAAAGTCTGTTCCCAGATGGCAGCAGGGAGAAGAGTCCATGGTGGCGGTGTAGAAAAGAAAAATGTTATATATTGTCCTGCAATAGTGGGATAATGATGGCCCGTACGGGGATCGAACCCGCGACCTTGGCGTTATTAGCACCACGCTCTAACCAACTGAGCTAACCGGCCTGTGCCGCTGTACCTTTCTCACCAGTTAATTGGTAATTGGCGTGGTTAGGCTGGTTCTTCCTGAAGAATGTGGGAATAATTCTTTGCTGTGCATGTGCGCACATGCATATTAGAACAACGTATGCCGATCTGAGAGCGTACGCTGTTCTGACAGAACGCCGGCCCCTGTTATAGCCTCTCTACTGAAGACATAATACCAAATCAGTTTTGTAGGGTTTGTGTTGGCACAGATATATTTAACCTCTTTAAATCCACCAGGTTTAAACTTTCTTATAAATTAACTTGGCTCTGATTGGACATTTTTAATTAACAGGTTTACTTAAAAAAAAAAAAAAAAAATAAGGTGTTGCACCTTTAGCTTCGGTCGTATTGTAATAGGATTACAATCTTCATCTGCTACATCAAGGTCTCTTGATCTGTGAGTGCCATTTTGGCTGTAATACATGATGAACCATTACCCTGTCTTTTTTTATTTTGCTCCATGTCCCTATAAAAAAAGGTCCACCTGGTAAATTGGTCTAGAACCACCACTTCAGCCATGCCTTTGGACTTTACTCTAGGATAACATGTAAGCTTCATGCAGACAGACTCAAGGCCAAGATTGAAACCCAGGACTGGTTGGCATTTTAATAAAAGGACATACATGACAATATATACTGTATATCAGTGAATGTATCAACTTTAATATAATATTATTAATGCAGAAAATATCAACTATTGTTAATGCTGTCTTAGATTTAAGGTTGTATACTGCAGACAATTAATATATTCTATTATCAGTCATGTAAACATCCTCATTTTTCATTTTGGTCTCTTAATAAAAGGCTATATTTAGAAGTAAGCCTTGTGGAGGATAGTTTTAGCAGTATTTTTGTTTTATTCTTATTTACTTGATTGGGGGATTTTTTTTTTCAGATCAAAGTGGTTATAAATTATGTGATAACAATCTTATGGATGGCATTAACAGTTTTGCTTTTAAGCACTGAAAAAAAGAAAATTTAAATGTAACTTTTGCCTGTGAACTTATTCTACTAAGAATGAGCTAACTAGATTACTTTTAAAACAATGTGTATATATAAAATATGTTTTTGTTTTCTTAGGGGAACGGCCCTTCAAATGCACCTGGCCGGAATGCAGCAAGAAATTCTCCCGATCGGACGAGCTTACGCGCCACTACCGCACGCACACAGGCGAGAAGCGCTTCAACTGTCCGCTGTGTGAAAAGTGCTTCATGAGGAGCGACCACTTGACCAAACATGCCCGCCGACATGTGGGTTTCCATCCCAGCATGTTGCAGGGCTCCAGCGCTGCCAAGAGACGGCGCTGCTCCATGTCCATGTCCTCCTCTGACTCTGGGGACCAAAGCCCTGCAGGAATGTGAAACACCTACTGTCTCTGTCCATATAATATTTTTCAGAACGGTGTTTAGTAGAAGGTAACATACCCTGACATACCTCCACATGAATCTCAGTCAGCCAGGCAAATATTCAGGGACTTTCCTTTCACGTGTGCAACTGATTATCATTTAACTAGGAGTCCACTGACTCATTCCCTGAGGTAATTTGTATTTATTAAGGGTTGTTCAGGGTCTGACAGGGATGTCTAGTTATTTTTTTCCTTTTTCTTTATTTTATTTTTATTTTTTACTCAAAGAATCTCAAATAAAAAAAAGGACATAAACAGTATTGCTCTTAGAAACTCCACTTGCTAAATCACGTTCCATTTAAAGATGAAGTCAGCAGCCAAACATCAGCTACAGCATCTTGCAATGGATCAAATCTTAGTGAGATTTGAGCTTTTGGAAATTGTCCTAAAATCCATAATGAAGATTGCTACAGAATTTATTTTACAGTTACTTTTCCATCTAATACAATGTGAATGCACTATACAGCAGTATTATCTTGTAAATATATTAAACAGACAGGATATAGACTCTGAATAGTGTGAATAGTTGTTATTAGAGTGTAATAAAAAAGGTTAAAATATATAGAGATGCAGAACTTACTTATTTAATTTAGTATATTTGGCTACGGACTTCAGCTGTGCTTTAAGCTGCTTAAACTGAAATGTTTTTTATGCAATGAGGAACTTTGCAAATACATGCACGAGAAAATATGACTATATTTACAATACTTCATTAATCTCATGGCAGGGGGATCCAACTACAACATTTGTGTTGTTTCATACAGACTTTGATTGTCTTAGAGGTGCAGAAAAACATAACAGGGTAAAGCCTTTTAAAATCTGAAGTTATTATCATAAAAGAAAATGTTTGCTTGTTTTTTTATTTTCCAGACCATGATGGTTTTTTCAGTGTGTGCCTTTGTAGCAGAGGAGAATGTCGACATTTTAATCTCTGGGAGGGTTTTGGGGGGGGATACTGCTTGAATGGACTTTAGTTTTTCATATTCTTCATGTTGCATCTTCTCAGAAACACTTTACAAATCAACAGATCAGAGACTGTCACTAATACCAACTGTGCCAGTGGCTGCACATTGAAAACTGTACATTGTTTTGTTTGTGACATGGTTTTTATAAGTGACTCATGATGTTTTGGTCATGTCTGACCATATCACACCCCCGTGTGGTGACATGGAAGCACAACATTTCCCATAATCCTCAGAAAAAAAGACTCTTGTTTTATTATTTTTTGTAGCACTTTGATGACTGCCTTCATTTCTTCGTTGAGAGCAATTGTATTTCATCAGGTAGCATGTCTGTATTTCTTTTGCTTGACTGGCTGTCCTTTATAATACCAACTACTAACAAAGTGAGAGGTCTTATTAAAATCACTACATGTTTAATCTTAATTTTTATACTTGTCTCCTTTCATTGTATATGTTTGCTGGGTGAAATACTGTTTTGTTTTTTTATGATGCATTAAGATAATTGTGATTAGATTCAGGTGCCTTTCAGGTGAAAGCTTTTTTTTTCCTGATGCTTCTGTAATCAGGAACTATCAGCGCAAGCCTCGTGTTATTGCAAGACACACAACCGTGTAATAATTACTTCTCGACGTTATTAAAATTTCCTTTTATTTCCCTTCAAATATTTACTTGTTGCTCCTTTTTTCATCCATTTACACCGTTTTATAGGCATCATTAAAGAGAGCTATTCAAACTGTAATTCTGAGCAGAGTTTTCCATTTGCTTAGTGTTTATTAATCACCTTCATACACTGCACATTACATTAACATTGGTAAATACTATAATGGAACTGTTTACAATATGTAAAAGTCATAAAAAAGGAAACTCAAAAAAAAAAAAAGAGTACATGTTAAAAAAAATAATTTCATCTCACAAATAAACCAAAAACGATTAAAACAGCTTTTAAACTTCTCCATCTTTAAGGCATACTATATTTGCATTTAACAATTAAATCAGATAAGAGAGGTTTGTAAATAAAGGATACTGGTGTACTGAGTCAACCATCCTTGATGGAGGATTACAGAATGTTTTCTACAATCTACATAAGGTTCAGTTTCATTGTCTTACATGTTGTGGCATCCTAGCTTTGTACACATGCACATATAAGAGAAGAGAGACTCTTCCTGTTCTAGGATCATGTGTTTTCCTTCATAATTGGCAGCGTCCAGTGATCATTTTGTGACACTAAACCAGATTCTTTAACTCAACAAACTCAATATTTAAATTCTATTTGAACCTCCCTCCTTTAGTTCCTTTGGCTTTAAACTGCACAGTACCTTGCAAAAAGTATTTGTTTAATCCCTTTTTACTTTTTATTAAATCAAATCAAAAAATTCCATATGCATTACTAGATTTAAATGTGACTGATCAACACAGAATAAGTACATAGTTGGGAATTGGTAGAAAAACAATACATTTCTCAACATTGTGGAGTGCATTTGTATTCAGCCTCCTTTTCTGAGATACTCCTAAATATAAAGCAGTGAGATTATTGAATAGACTTATACCAATTTTTCCACTATGTTCCTTAATAGGAAAGACCAGGAATACATTTGTAGATATCTGTAATTGTTTTACTTGATATGTTTTTATGTACCTGTTATTTAATTGAATGCCAGGACTCCCTTGAAAAAGAGGTTTTTAATCTCAATGGGATTTTTTTCCTGGTAAAATAAAGGTTAAATAAATAAATAATTAGAGAAGTTTAAAGAAGAGATGTATAAGTACATTTAACAGAGCTTCAAGGATCCACAGCTCAGGTGAGAGAAACAAGACAAAGATTGTAATCTCCAAAAGAAGTATGCAAATATATTTGTGGGGTGGAAAATTAACACTTTCATACGGAACACGTATCCATATGGATGTTACAGATTACTAATTCCAATTGAGAATCACAAACAAGAATTAAATTTAGATTTTTAAGATAAAACATTAAACGGAATTCTCATGAGCTAATGTAAAGAATTACTGGATGCACTCAACATTTTTGAGATTCTTATTTGTAAGAAATTAAGAATACCAAGTATTCCTTTTATTCTGCTTCCTAATTATGACCCACATTGTGTTGATCTTTTACATTTAGATAAAATAATACACACTTATGTGCAAAAATCCTAGGGATGTAAATAATTTTGAAAGACAAAGTGGAAAACAGAGAATCACAGTCAAAATTTATAACTTTCCCTTCAGGCTTGTCTGAAGCCTGTATTTTTTAAGTAAGCCACTTTCACATATAGTGCAGGACATAATGATATGAGTACATGAAGCCTAAAATAAAAGTGCAAAATAAAATAAAAAGAAACAAACTTGTGCCATAACAGCAGCGTATGATTGCACAACTGAAGATTAAATGGACAAAATCTGCGTGCTTTAAATATTCCTCAGTACCTCTATGCTGTTTGTCCTACAGCCATTCAAACATTCATCCATGAACTCCTTAATTTGACATCTTACTAGGCCATTGCAGAGAAAGAGGAAATGTTGATGTTAACGTGTGCAAGGATGTGACCTGTGCTACATAACAACCCTGTACAGTACTAAGGATACAGTACCAGAAATTCTCTGTTTTGGGATTAGAAAGACTACATCCCACATTTCTCATAACCAGGTAAACCATCACTTATCCCTTAATTCCATACAGTTAATGCATTAAAATAAGCAGGGAAAATAGATCAAGGCAAACCACATCAGGACAGTTTAATCAGCAGTAATGATAATGTTTGCAACAGGTCAGGGGACAGGAAACCCTTTCACAGCAGCAACTGACCTCTTCCTGTCTATGATCTAATACAAAGGGGGTCACATCATGTCTGACCAGAGGAGGAGTGCTCAAACAGAAGTGTTCGTCCTGCCATAGGAGG